TCCTTCCTTCCTTCCTTCCTTCCTTCCTTCCTTCCTTCCTTCCTTCCTTCCTTCCTTCCTTCCTTCCTTCCTTCCTTCCTTCCTTCCTTCCTTCCTTCTTTCCTTCCTTCCTTTCTTTCTTCTTTGATTAACGCTATTAAAGGAAGGAAGGAAGGAAGGAAGAGCTTTCTTTGAAGTTTAAAAACTTATAATTCATCACTCCTTAGTATATTTTGTCGACCATCTTGATTGCATGATCACCACGCGTGGTTTACGCGAATAATATCACTCGGGTGATACGATCAATTCAAATCACGTCAAATACGATGACGTAAGGCGTGGAACGAGGAGACCTGCAGCGAGAAGGATCCGGCGAAATATTATCCGAAGTGATGATAACATCACTTCGGGTAATATTTCGACGAATGCCCCGAGCGGAGAGTCTATAAATGATATATTATACCGAAAGATAAAGAACCCACTAAGTTGAGAATAAACTTGCTGAATAACTATGCCAATACAATGTTTAATTTCCTATTCATACCTCGTTTTATCTTTATAATATTTGAGCCTGTATCTTTTGGATCATTGGAAGATAACATATCTCTTGAAAATCTTTAGTTAATTAAATCAATAAATCTTTTGTACGAAATTACAAACAATAGCTCACGAACGCCATATTGTTTCAGAGCGCGGTGTCCACGCGTCACGCGTGAGATGCTATAATATCCCACGGTAGACCTACCGTGGGATATTTAACAAATATAAAACATTTTCCCTGTTGATATACAGTTATATCAACACGAGTGGAATTGGGAAAACGAGAAATTGTATGGAAACACGACGCCCGAAGGGCGGAGTGTTTTCAGACAATTTCGAGTTTTCCCAACTTCCACGAGTGTTGATATAACTATTTATAATATAGCATTTGTAAATTCTGAACGCTGATTGGCTAAGAGCCGTGTTGATATAACTCGATGTCAACACGGGAAATTTTCCGCCGCTTGTAAACACGGAAATTTTTCTTATCCTTCGGGTATATTATAAAAAAAATATAAAACATTTTTTCCGTATTGATATATAGTTATATCAACACGGAAAATGTTTTATATTTGTTAAATATCAATACGGAAAAATGTTTTATATTTTTTTTATAATATAGCAATGTCAAAAGCCCGAAGGATGAGAAAAATTTTCGTGTTTACGAGCAGCGGAAAATTTCCTGTGTTGACATTGAGTTATATCAACACGGCTCTTGGCCAATCAGCGTTCAGAATTTACAAATGCTATATTATAATATAGTATCTCACCGTGCATTGCGAAATCATGAATTTGAGTAAAATACCGAAGAAATCACATTGTCACGTGGTACTAATGCTGTTTTTTATTGGACAATTTGAATTTGAGGTATGATATTATAATAAATTTCATGCTCATGTGGCACAAACTTAGCTTTTTGATTGGACACTTTGACTTTGAGGTATAATATTACAGGATATCCGATCCGCGCAATTTAATGCCTGAGCCAACTACGCGAAGCGCCGTTCCGAGCGTAAGCCTGTTAGCCTGGGGTAAGCCTGCAAGGAAACTAATCTCGTTCGGCTATTTACACCTCGGAGAAGGAAAGCATTCGCGAAGTCTAAAGTTTATCAATAATCGCGGGCGCATGGCTATGTTTGACGGTATGTCGCTGATCTCAAAGTATGGCTGTTTGCCAGGAGTGAAAGGAGCAAGGATAAAAAAAAAACACGTAAGAAAGCTTGGAAAATTGTTTCACACAATAAGTTGGATTTTTTCGATTTTCCTTTAGTTAAAAAATTATAGGAATTGCTTTAATGTGGGAAATCATGAGAGTATACGACAAGTGGTAAAGTCCGAATTATCGGATTTGATATACGACATCTCATTGATCTCATACGAACTAACTTAAAGTGAGGTGATTTAGTTTTGATCCACTCCAAGAAATGAATTAATAAAACTTCACCTGGTATCCAGTATATTATGACATATGAGCAAAATAAAGTAATCTCTGAAACATACCTGTTTCTTCTAGGCAAAAGAAATCGTAAATGACTTGATAACTACGAGTTTCTTTCGATCCTTTAGTAGTTACACAGTTGTCTAATAACTTCCTCGCCATTTCGGGCATATTCTCAATCATCAGTTTCAAACACCCTTCAGGGCCGTGATTTGACCCACTCACCACCTTATAATAATAAATAATAATATTAAAATTTCTATATCGCATATACATTGCTGTTCTATGGGCTTGACATTTTGAAATTACGTGTACAGTATTTTACACATCTTTTATATATATGGTGTTAAAATTCGACCGTTACAAGTCTTATATCTATATATTATTTTAAAACTATAGTAAAAAATTTTAAAAATAAAATTCATATTATAATTACGAGTCATATGTTGTAGGCTAATTTAAAAAGGTAAGTCTTTAATTTTGATTTAAAAATATTAATGTCACTTATAGATCTAGCTAATATCCACTGAATTATAGATCTAATCTCCACCTTAGAATAAGCATAATGTAATATCCACAATTGATGAAACAAACAATGCAATGCTCTATAGCGTGGACTTTTAGCGTTGAGAAATACCAGAAATATCGCAGAGACCTTTAAATTTCTTACTTATACTGAAATAGGCATCAGCCTTGATCCGCCGTAACATGACATTCCGGTCGTGTACAGGGGGCGCAAATCCTTGGAGGTTGGAGGGGAGGAGTTGGGGTTATGACACCCCAGCAATTTTGTGTGCAAATCCATCACAATTCTGAAAAATATTTCCCCAAAGGGCATGGAATGGCGTTTCAAAGATTCTAAATTTGAAGATTGTTTGGAAGAGCACGCCCGCATACCCCCAGGGGCCTGGCTCCTTTGGCAATCGATAGTTGTGTCGTTACATCATCGTCCTGATGGTGCGTCTGAATTTCTCCCAGCATGGCGGGGGGGGGGCGGGGGGGGCGCGGTAGTCCCCCAATTTTTTTGGGCAGTCGGGCAATATTCGATCAACAGTTGGGCAATTTTGGTGTATAATAAAAATGAAAGGGACAAATTCTGTCAATTTAGTCGAAATTTCAGTCAATTTTGTGGTGAATTATGTCTTATTTCGAAAATTTGCGTGATGTTCCGAAAAATTTTGGTATGTCCGGAAATTTTTTTTGACCCTAAAATGGTACTGACCGAAATTTTTTGGCGACTGGGGGGGGGGGTGGAGGTCGCCGAAATAATTTTTCCGGAAAAAATTTTTTAGGTACTATCGGGCACAATCCCGAAAAGTCGGGCAAATTTCTTTCCACCCCCCCTATTTTTTTCCTTCCGGTACGCCCATGAGTGTGGTATATCATTAACTGTGCACAGGATTGGAATTGAATTATATACTTCACTCATGACCTTCAAAGCATCTACTAGACTACTATTCAGTGGTCTTCAATATATGATTGACTCTTTTCCTCGATTAGTTCAGTGTGTATGTTACTCAACAGTTAACATTGGCAAGTGTAAAACAACAAGTGACAGAACTTTTGCTTCATATGATTACAATAAAGTTTTGAAAATTCGACGAGTATCGGGATTGACAAGTGACAGTTTACTAAATAGCCGGCTGTATAGACACTTCGAATATTGTTTGCATGAAATTTTTATTTCCGTTACAAGCATAATCACATTATAAAATTAGTTAAATTTTCTCGGGGGGGGGGAGGGAGCGCAGTTGCCCCTGTGCAGTGTACAGCCCTGCCCTGTTAGATTTGTATTATTTGATTTGTATTATGTTGTATTTGCTATTATACTTATCATAATAAGTGATGAAAGTAGATATGGGTTTTTGTTTGGTGGCCCAACCGTGGACATACAAAATAATTGAAGATTTTCCATGGCCCATCCCAAATCAATCCGGCCCACCCTAGCAGTTACTTTATGACCGGTCCCTAAATAGAGAATAATACATGGGTGCGCGGAAATACCAAATTTATTTCGAGTGTTGAACATGATATCTCACGAGAGAGTGCAGCGAACGAGTGAGATATCATGTTCAACACGAGAAATAAATCTGGTATTTCCAAGCACCCATATATTTTTCTGTTTATTATATAAACAAAATTGAAAAACAATGAAACATCCGTGCCAATTCGTTTTACAACAATTTCTCTGATTGGTGTTTGCAAAAATGATATTTTCACACGTAAAAATATCGTATTCAGTTTTACGTGTGTTTAAATACGATTTTTCTCAGCGGCCAAAAACTCTATATAACACTTATGTTTATATAATAATACATATTATTACATTATAATATAAATAATATTATAATATATATTATATTTAATTCTTGATTGAGTCGGTCTTCTTTCATGTACCGAGGTGATTATTTTTAATAATCACCTTGAATATTAATTACCTGAAAAGATGAAGGAGAATTCAGAAAATGTCATTTAAAGCGGATGAAACAGACAAAAGTTTGTTGGAAAACCACCTCAATTAAGAATTAAATATGATAAACACGTCGAAAGTCGGGATTTATGTCAGATAATGTCCTCCGACGCAGCGCGTCCTCGGTTCATTATCTGACATAAATCCCTCCTTCTCGGTGTTTATCATGCATAATATAATATATATTATATAATATGCTCCCACGTTTCCGACCGTAATTAAACATTTAATATAAAGAGTAAGATTAACAAACAAAAAGTGTCCCCAGTGTGTAGATTGTGCGGAGAGAGGGAGGAAACTGTGAGCCGCCACATATCAATACTTAAGAACTGGAGATATGATAATTAATAAAAAGTAGCTGAAGTTATCCATTGGAACCTTTGCAAGAAATTCAATCTTCCGTGTAGCAAAAATTGGTATGACAATGTCCCAGAAGCACTGAATGACTGAAAACGAGCAATTAAGTGAAGGTATTGTGGGATTTTAAAGTTCAAACAGATCACCATGTAACTTAAATATCTCCTAAATTCAGCCAATCACAATTCTCGGCAGTTGGCTGCCGAGAGTTATCAATTTTACCAGGGCTTTCCTGGCTGGCTCTTCCTCAATTATCTGCCGGCCCTAGAACGAGGCGCGGCCACGCCGGCTACTGAAAGATCTGTCATACAACTGTCTTGGATATACCTTTCTGCACTTGAAGGAGCTCTAATTTCTATTTTTTTTATTTTCAGCTGGTATGTTAGTTTAATATACCTCGATATTCGCAATGCTAGCTGCGCGATGAATTGGCATTTCTCCATCTTGGTCTGCTTGGTGTAGGGCGTCTTGAATGGATGTTTTCTGTGAGAAAATATCAGAATAGAATATAGAGTACCCTGCTTGGTTTCATTGGTTTATTTTCGGTAAGCGCTGGGCCTGTTTCAAACGTCGTGCTTTTCATGTGCCCAACGCATTAGAAAAAATAGATAACGAGACATTTCAGCTGATTAATTATCTATTGTTTGTAATGCGTTCGGCGCATAAGAAGCGCGATGTTTGAAACAGGTCTAAGGAAGAAAATACTCATTAGAGACTTAATTAATTCTTCATTGAGAAGTTCTGATCGACGTATGACTATGGTATTTTCGCACGCGATCATTTGTTTCCATAAAGCGAACGAGCGAATTAAATCAGTGAAGTAAATGAGAGATTAAAATTTTAAAAGATTTTCAAAAAAAGGTAAGGGGTTAGTGGTTAGGGGTTAGGATTGGGGTTAAGAGGTTAGTATTAAGGTTAGTGACACCTGAGGTGTCGCGAATTTATCATATTGATAAATTCGGACGTGTTTAAGAATTTACTCATATAGTAAATTCAAAGGTGGAGCTCATGCTGTAAAATATGGAAAGCAATGGAATAAAATTAATAATTATGTTTAGTTACAGGGAAATAAACAAAGTCAAAGCATGTGAGTGAATTTAATGATGCGTCACATGAAACATTTTTCTCACGTGTGAGAAAATTGTTTCGCCGTTTTCTGATTGTTTATACGGTGGCCGATAGGGGTCATTCACGCACAAAAAGTGAGATCACCCCACAATAACACGAAACACGCCAACAAATGCGCGATTCATAACACAATTTCACGATTCACGCCACAAAGAAACCGCTGACCGATCACGGCCTCAATACTCATTAAATTCATTATTTCCTGCCTTTTCCCGCGCTGCTTGGCGGTATGAAATAAGCGTAAGCATGGCCGACAACGGCCAGTGCATTCAGTATGAAGAAGCTCTCGAGGATTCTTTAACTTTTTCGAATAGGAGTATCTTAACTGTGTTTGCACATCAGAAGGATTAGAAAGGCCCTGACTGATTGGAAAAGTGGTCTGAACTTATACACAATTTTAAAACATATAGTCGTGAACAAGTATAGATTTCAACAATTAATATTGTTTTTTATTGTTTGTAAATTTTATATTAAAAACACAACATGAGCTCCACCTTTGAATTTACTATATGAGTAAATTCTTAAACACGTCCGAATTTATCATTATGATAAATTCGTGGCACATTTTGAATTTATCAATAGAGTTAATCATAAAATCACAAGCATTAGGGAGGTTGGTCGCGCGGGGGTGGGGAGATTTTCAAGATTTTCAAAAAAATTGTTTTTAAAAAAGTTTTAAAAATGTTTTAAAAGAGTTTTAAAAAGCAAAAAAAGTTTAAAAAGTTAGATTTTTAAAAAAGTTTAAAAAGTTAAAAAAATTTTAAAAGTTAAAAAGTTAGGGTTAGGGTTAGGGGTTAGTGGTTGGGGTTAGGGTTAGTGTTAGGTACCGCGAATTTATTATTATGATAAATTCAAAATGTGCCGCGAATTTATCATAATGATAAATTCGGACGTGTTTAAGAATTTACTCATATAGTAAATTCAAAGGTGGAGCTCATGCTGTAAAAACACAACATGCATGTGCAATCTAAAGACTAAAATTGAATAACTATCAATTTTGAACTAATCTTTTAACAAATGTCACATTCCAAACTGCTCATATCAACTATAAAACTGTTTTTATGCAGTCAATTTTAACTTCAAGAACAAAGATTAATGTAAATATATAACAATAAGATAATTGGCCAAGTTGCTTAAGCCAGGGCCGGAGATACGGGGGGTGTGGGGGGTGTGACACCCCCTCAGAAATTTTATTCGGTCGGCAGGACTGCTATTCAGTCGGTAGGACTGCTATTTGGGTTAAATATTTTCGCACAAAGGACAAGTTAGAGGTTGTACTGTTGGTCTCGGAAAAAATTTTCTCGCCCTGGCTTCCGTCAACCTCTCCGTCAACCTCGGTTGCAGGGCCGTAGCGAGGCGTTACAAAAATAACTATGAATTTGGAAAAAAATGAGGTATATTTACAAAAATTTCGAATATTCTAGAAATTTTCGGAAATTTAGAAAATTTTTTTTGATAAATGGAGAAAATTTGTCATGTCTGGGAAATTTTGACATGTCCGGAAAAATTTTTGTGCCCCTAAAATGGTACACTGACCGAAATTTTTTTTGGGGAGGGGGAGGTTGCCAAAAATAATTTGTTCCAAAAAAAATGTTTTCAGGTACTGGTCGGTTGAATTGACCTTACATCCCCCTGAAGAATTCCCTGAGGACGGCCCTGGCTTAAGGTGGCTCCCCGGCTACAGTTTTCTAAAATTTTAAGTATTTTAGGTAACCTTCGTTTTCAACCAAATTTATATTGAACACACTTAAGACAGAGCAATATAATCATTTCCAGGAAAGTTCAGAAGTCTTCTGCTGTCGATATATGAACAAATAGGAACAGTGTTAGTGTTGCCATGGCAACCATGACGTTTCATCTTTTGCACTTTTATTGTCTAATTTTACAATCAAACGGCAATATCTTTTTTTTCCTTCGGTCAATTTTTCTGAATTTTTTTTTTAAGATTTATGGTTGAAAGAGGAATGACATATTGAAATTTGAAGGGATGTTTATAAGGCAGATTTTGAGATATTCACGAATAAGGACTACAAAAAATCTGTCTTATAGAATTTCTTGAAATTTTGATATGTTTGGCGAATCGTCATGCTTAGCAAACGTGCAAAGTTTAAAAAAATTTCACCGAAGGAAACGCGAGAAAAATAGTCCTAAATCCAGTTGAAGCTGTTGACGTGCCAAAATATCGATTCGACATGACCACTATTTGCACATGCGTGTACGTAAATTATAATGCGTGAGGAACACGAAACTTTTTTCGCAATTTTCACGTTGATTTTTTGGCTTGTATGCATGTATCACACAGATATTTTTTACTTACTTGAAATGCAAATAAAATATATATAGGTCTACAAATGTTCAAAATACAAAAAATTGAGAACACAATAACGCACTGACTTATCCAACGTTTCTTAAATTTAGTTTTGCTGTGAAAATCGGTGTGAAAACTTTTCAAAACAAACATTCAAGTAGACTTTGTCGACTTTTCGTATAAAACAACTCATAACTGTCTGCATTATAGTTTTATTGGATTCAGCAGATAAAAAACTACATGTGAACTGAGTTGAATGACAGGATTTACGTTAGTTTCAGTGACAGTTCAGGAGTGCCTTGAAGACAGTATAAAATATAATTCAGTCCGTGACACTGTTCAACATTGTGAGCCTTTATATGAAATATACAGTACTGAACGTATTAAATATATAAAAAAACACACAGAAGGTAGGTAAAAAACTAGCTAACCGGCATACGTACTGTTCGAATGTTGAAAAGTTTAGGATTATAATAAAAAACTGGCGTTTTCTTTGTAGATAAAAATACAAAAACAAGTTCCCGCGGCTTGTTTCAAGATTTTTACCGGGCCACGAAGATTCCACGCCGAGTCGCGAGGATGACGTCTGAGCTATATAAATGTTTTAAACTGGACTATAACTGTAGGGAGCCACCTTAAGCTCTATCAACACAGCAGTATATTTGTAATATATATGAATACTAAGACCATTTTGATTGTCATGCGGTCACGGAAAAAGGCGGGAAGTGAATTTAATGATATGAGACCGTGATCGGTCAGCGGTTTCTTTGTGGCGTGAAATTGTGGAGTGAATCGTAAACTTGTGGCGCGAATCGCGCATTTGTTGGCGTGTTTCGTGTTATCGTGGGGTGATTTCACTTTTTGTGCTTGAATGACCCTTATCGGCCACCGTAATAACGTGCATTGTGAAATGAGTTTTAGCATTATTGACTAAACCATTCGTAAAACTCAATATCTATATAATAAATAAATCTTTTTAATCCAATAAAAATGCGATGTAATTTTTCGCAATGCAAAGGATGTTTATATTTCATTGATTCGGCAAGGATTTGCATTCGCGAGCTGCCCGTATATAGCGTCGTTCTAACAATATTATTGAATTAAACGTACTGTTCCAACCATCTCCAGTAACGTTTTCAAAGTATCCGGCTTCGATACAGCGTAATGAAACACATTGCGTTGAAGACTGTCGCTTTCCTTCATATCCAAATCATCTAACTTTGTCTCTTGGAAAAATGTTGACTTGAAGGATTCACCCCGTCGAACAGCACTGAAACAAATTGTTGACGCTTATTATACACTGTGCCTGTGGAATGAACTATTTGGTAAACACAAAAGAAGCGATACAATGGTTAGCGAATGTGGTTTTATTCATTAAGTAATAAACAGTTTTCTGATCATGATTTCGTTTCAGTTTCTTGTGAAACCGAACATTTTCCACATTTCCACGTTGTCAAACACCGCAGACTAAGTCAGTATCGTAATACTGGACACTGAAGAAGAGATGGCCTTGCTGGACCTGAAATGATAGAACTATCCGGCGTGTTTACACTCTGGCTAGTAAGGTCTGGACAATAGCCGAATGTTTGGGTTGACACCAATTTCATATAAAAAAATTACAAAATACTTTGTCATTGTAAGGATACTATATAAGCACAGTTGATGTTTGTGTATTGAATCTTTGTATCACCTCGTAAGTGGGTTCACGAAAGTATCACTAATAGATTTCACTGAACTGCCGTGTTTTCTGTGACCGCTACGTGTACCGTTATTCGCATGTGTCAGGTCTTCATTTTTCTTGATTTCAGCAAGCGGTATTGCTTCTTTCTCCGACATCTTTCTAATGAACATCTATTGACTTTTATCAAGCAATTGTATCTGTTGGAAATAAAAACATTGAGTTGCACATACTAGTACACAATAGGCACGGCGAAAACATAACCTCCTAGCGGAGGTAATTAAAATATAGACCAAAACCACCATGCACCGGGTCGACCAGCTGAAACGATATTTAAGCCACGTTTCTGAAATGCTATTCACAGAAAACTTTAAATCACCACTGGTTAACATATTAAATTAACTATAATCTATCAAAATTATATATACGAACAAAACTTCGATTGGTGGGAAAACAATGTGATGATAAAATGAACCAATCAGTTTAAAGCAGTTTAGTTTAATTAAGAAGTAACGGCGACAGATTGCTTCAAAACAAATCAATCACGGCGCCACGATACATAAAGTGAATTAAAGTTGACTTCGACTGTTATCTTTTTTTTTAAATGGAAAAGCCTTTACCTTGAACAAGACTACCAAAACTTACATGCATAGTTGAGTGGAATTTTCAAGCTGTTAGCGTTGCGGTATAATGTGATATAAATAAAGCCAGGAAAACTTTGCCAGCGGAATGTTCGCTCTAAACGTAAGTTAAAACTACAATTGTCTCGAATATTTTTATGTATATTATTAATAAGTAGTGGGGGCAAGGGGGTCAATATCTCCCGCCTCCCGTACCTCCTCTTCTGCCTCCCGTACCTTTTTGGGAATTGTCTCCTGCCTCCCGCCCTTTTTCTACTAACTTGGTTATGTTGCTATATTAAGCCTTTTACGGTCAAAATATCCCTAAAAAAGGAAATTTCCTTGAATGTGGAAACACGCTGACAAAACTCCAACCACTTGCGGATGTAAGTCGAATGCCATTTATAGACATTAGAAAGGACTAAAAAATGCCTCCGATGACTGTCATGACTGACGACAATGGTTAATAATGCCAGTTAAAATGGTGCATAGTCAATATTGTTTGGTTCTGATTTTTGATAGTTCGCTTAAAAAGGGACTAAAAAGTCATTAAAAAACTTAACGTCCCTCATTCTTCTCCCGCCTCCCGCCGTCGCATGACTCCCGCATCCCGCTCCGTCTCCTACCGCTTCCCGCCCACCTCCCGCTCTTAGCTTACTTTCCCGGGTTCCCGCCCACTTGTTCCGCCCACTAAGTAATAGCATGGTTTCTCGTGAAATTTGGATAAACATGCACTCGTGAGTTTTTCAAAGACCTCAAACAGCACTCGTCCTTCGGACTCGTGCTATTTTGAGGTCTTTGAAAAACTCACTCGTATTATATCCAAATTGCACTGGAAACCATGCTATTACCTATACTAATATCTGATGAGTATAAATCTGTGCGCATATCTTAAGAATGTTAATATACAAAGCAGATGAATGAAGAATTCATCATAAGGAAAAAAGCCAACGCGCGATAGGCAATTCTAGCTTTTAGTTTATGCGTGCACGGAAGTAAGGTATCATAATGCTGATTATGCTGAAAAAATAAATATGATGGCCGTGTAAACACGGAGTGATAGCTTATAATTATAATTGTAAATATTGAAATATTTCGGTTGTTTCGGCAGTTTTTATTGAAAATTTTCAGCATAATCGGCAATATGATGAAATTTTCGTCGGCACCATTTCGTTGGGCACACATTTCGCAAGCGTTCCAATTGTTCCGTTGTCAGCCATCGTTCCACACAAAATGGAATATTAATGTATATTATAGTAATGTTATAGCTCAGTGGTGATCATCCTCACTGACCTCAAAATATAGCGGACTGTCGTGAATAGCAAACACTGATTGGTCAAATTTGAAATTCGCATTATTACGACTGCACGACGACAGCGAAATAACAAACATTTCTAAGATTTCTTGCAAATATTAAACAATTATTGAATGAGGTTGAGCATGATATCGAGAATTATTATATGGCTTTGCAGAATCCTGGATTCTGATTGGTCGACGTGCGGTCCGTAAAATGCGTATCCGGACTGTGATCCGTATTTTCCCGTATCCGGACCGGTTTCCCGTATGTCAATTTGACAGGCTCGAATTTGATAGATAGATAGATAGATAGATTTAATAAGAAAATACATTGCAGCCGAGTATGACTGGATTGCGTGTTACTTTACAACAATGGTAATTATGAGAATAAAGTTTATCTAAAAAGAGTATATAAAACGAAGTTACAAATATGTTAAAGTGTGTAACTCAGTATATAATTTATGTATTTACAAAGCTAAAACTACGAAGATTATGCTTAAGAGAATTCTTTAATACAAGAAGGAATAAATGTTTTTAAAAATCTATCAGTTTTAATCACTGGTGTTTGGAAGACACGAATACTACGCAAGTCGCGATCGTTGATGATAGGAGGGCGTGCAGGAAACAAATTCGACAACTTGTGTGCAGGGTCCTCTATAGTTATCTGATTGTATAACTTGGAGCAGGCATGCCTTCGACAATCGCTTAGGAGTGTCAAATTAGCTTTGTCCAAACGCTCGCTGTAAGACAAACCGGGAAAGATTATAGATGTAACTCTTCTCTGGACTCGTTCTATGTTATCACTGAGATACTTAGGCAGAGCAAAGTGAAATACCTCACAAGCGTATTCCAGAACCGGTCTGACACAGCAACAATAAAAGTTTAGAATTTCTTTGGCTGGTATTTTAGCTCGTTTTAATTGGACTATGAAGAAGATTCTCTTGTACCATTCTTTATTATGTTTAGGACATGCGTAAACCATCTTAAATCATCACTAACCGTAACACCGAGAATTTTAGCTTGGCGAACCAGGTGTGGACACACCGTAAGAAGATGGATATTATCAAAGGATACTCTATTTCTGTGGAATTGAAACAAAATCTCTTTGCATTTTTGAACATTCAATTGGAAGTTCCACATTTCAAGTTTGTTAGCACCAGATTGGATTTGGCTGGTTCCGTTTCTTGGGATAGTTTCCGAGACTGTTGTATCATCAATACATTTCCAGTGGGTGATGTCCATAAGCTTCAAATCGTTTATCATGAGAATAAACAACCAACGACCCAACTTTGTGCCCTGTGGGACGCCACTAGGGACATTACCCTACTCAGAAACACAGTCCCTTGCAAGTTTCACGCGCTGTTTCCGACCACACAAAAAGCTAATAAGACAATTTATGACATAAATTAGGATGGCCGGTTGGCGAATTTTGTTGATCAAGATTGAGTGATCAAAAAGATCAAAAGCCTTCCTGTAATCAACCAGAAGGACTCGCACGGAATTTCCAGTACCATCGGTTGCTTTAGTCCAGTTGTGCAACACTGCAACATACTAGTACGGGCGATAGTTGAAGATGACCTTGGTATTCTTCCGAACTGGTGAGGGTCGATGCATTTCAGGATGGCAGGGGCGGCAAACTTTTCAATGACAAATTCTTCAGCCAGTTTTGAGAGACAACAAGTAAGATATATGGGTCTTAAGTGTTTACTGATGTCACATACAACCTTCTCCTTTGGAATTGGGATAATGTTTGCCAACTTCCATAAGCTTGGTAATAATTGATGGCGGAGTGAACAGTTGATCAGAGGTACTTAGTAATTTGAGTTTTTATATGTTTCCCACGGTGTAGTGATGTCAAGAGGTTGATCAGACATATACTATTGGTTTGGTCGTCATTATAGGGTTGAAAGGATCAAATTTCTGCATGGGTTCTAGAAAGGCGTTGTTAATAGCATTAGCCAAATCGGCCAAGGGCAGGTGTTCTAAGTTTTCTGATTGGATACAATCCTGTAGGCTTGAAAGGGAAACCATTCCACTAATGCGTTTTACTTTACGCCACCAGTGTTTCGGGTTAGATTGTTTTAAATTATCTACTTTTGTCTTATAATAATTAGCCTTGCAAGTTTTCCTTTTCCTATTAACCCTATTTTGATAGAATTTGAAGAGGGTATCATTCCCGACGAAAAAGGCACGCTGTCGAAGTTGTATGAGACGATGCAGATCCTCGTTGATCCACGGGTGGTCGTTGGGATGAACCAAAAGGCGTTTTTCAGGCAATATATAATATAATCCAAAAGATAGCATATCGGTGAACAGTTGGTTTTCACCTCAACTGATTCAAGTGAGTTAAGGAAAGACCAGTCAATTTCGCTTAATCACGTGTTAGGATCTCGGACTAGGATCTCGGAGTATGGGAGAGACAGCTGCAATTACAGAATGATCAGAAAGGCCGAAGGGCGGAAAAGCGATGATGGAGTTCGATAGATAGAAAGGATCTAGATTTGTGAGCACTAGGTCAAGTGTATTGCCCCCTCCCCCTTTGTTGGTATCTTCACAAGTTGTTTTAAACCAAAGTTTATGCATAATGCATGTTTTATATCTAAGCGATTAAAGTCACCAGCCAAAATTAATCCACAACCAGGGTAGAGACTCTCAACCCGGGTCAGTGATGCAATTAGGTACTCCAAGATTTCATTATCATCTGAAGACGGGGGGTGGTAGATAGTAGCAGTAACTATGCACGAAACACCTCTGGGTAACCTGGCCGGCCGTACATAAACCCACATAACTTCCAAATTCGGACACTCCAAGTTAAATAAACGGGAAACGTTTTTACACGTTTATAAGGTCGTTATGTGAAGAAAAAGTATCCTTGGATCATTTTTAAGAATAAGAAGTCTTGGAAATATTAATAAGTACTTGTACCAACACAAATTTCATTTTTCGATGAAATTTGTGTTGGTACAAGTATTTATTAATATTTCCAAGACTTCTTATTCTTAAAAATGATCCAAGGATACTTTTGCTAAGAAAATAAGCCGTTTGAACTCTTACTGGCAACCGAAAGTTTTGGCGGGAAAATGTTTTGATTTGTTTACTTGTTTCAAAAAATAAATAAAGATGAATTTAACGTCTTTAATACCATATTCTAAACAAATATCATATAAACTGGGTTCATAAGCATTTTTTCTGGAGGTGGGGGTTACCGAAAAAGTAGTTCTAAAGCGATTGTTAAACATGCTTTTCCGTAAACAATA